AATAAATCTGAGACAGCAAATGAGTATTGAGCTGCTTTATATTAAAATACATTATGTACATACATGTGACATACACAATTATATATAAATAGTTATAAAGACATTTAAAAAGCAATTTTTTGCAATATTTAAATTATGTAGGCCCAAATTTTGGTAGTTAAACGTTAAACTTTAAACGGCAAAAAATTAACACCCAAAGTTCAAACTTATAGTCTTTAATTAGGTCTTTCCACTTTTCTGTGGAAAGACCTATTGGATTTCTTCTGATTATTATTATAATTTTTTCTTCTTCCGCCACTTTTTTCTGACGGTGCTTTTTTGTTTCGCAAGATGTTGCTTAGATTTTTTGTGTATGATATCGAACAGTTATTGCGATTTTGGAACTGACCCTGTTTAGCGGAATACTTTTTATTGTAAGAGTTATCTCCCTAAATACTGTTTTTCTTGTGTACGCATCTCCTTCGCAACCGTAAAAGATTATGACAAATTTATGTCTCCAATTTGTTCCTTATATCCTCAGGATCTTAAGAATAATTTTGACCGAAGCGGTCCAGAAACTCCATATAAGAGTTATTTCCCCTTCTGTATTTAAAATAAGTAAAATGTAATTGTAATTGGTAAACCATAAGTGATAGGGACCTAGGGTCTTTTGATTTGAGGTCCTTGGTCCAAAAAAAAAGAAAATAGGGTCAAGGTCAAAGGTCAAGGTCATTTTTAAATTTGGATTTTGGCTTATTTTCACCTCTTTTCAAACACGATATAAGACATCACATCGACAACATATTTTTACTTAATTGTTAGTTGTGACATGTCGTAACACATACATATCGGTTTAAAGGGTACGCTTACATCAAATTAGAGTTTTCTCCCCTCTTTTATTTAAAAATATGCATATGGTGATATAACTCATGAACCAAATATAATTAAGTCCTAGGGTCTTTTGATTTTAGGTCGCTTGAAATTGAGCTCAAGGTCATAGGTTAAATTGACGTTCTAGATTTTGACCTTTGCTTTTACCTCATATGTATACATGATAAATCCATGGGACTTTTTGCATTAGTTTTTAAAGCCATTTTACCTTAGAAAAGCCAACCAGAAGTGACCTTGTGTAAACCAGAAGTAGCTCTTTTTTGTACTTAATTAATGTAAAAGTTTATAGAACCAGATATTTTTGGTATCGGTGTCAATTAAACTTTTGAATAATACCGAAAGTAACATTTTTCAAACTGGAAGTAACAAATTATCTCCCTTATTTAACAAATATTGTATAGAAACCATATATTTTTGGAATCAGCGTACAATAAGCTATCATTTGAAGCTGGAAATGACATTTTAAAACGAATTTTACTATTTTCATATTAAAATACATGTTTTTTTGTGGAAAGACCTTCAATTGTTCTCTGAACAATTGGTTTTTAATGTATATATGCTATTGCCATGAAACTAGGTAAACTGTCTTATAATTCTCTAATCTTAGTTCATGCCAAGTTTGATTAAAATTAGTATTTCTACTCTATTAGGTCTCTAGTGTGGATATAGTGTATAACTTGCAAATTATTTTCATACTCCTTCCAAATTTATTGCGAATGAATGACATTTTTACCAGATATTCTGAATCCTCTGGTTTTATCCATGCAGTGCCATTAAAAAATTTTGCCCGCAAACCCCTACTTTTCTTTTCATATTTTTATTACATAGTTTAAAAAGCCACATTTGAAAATCTTATAAAATCCTTGTTATTTTTCCATAGCTTTTGAAAGAAAAAGGTGCCAGTGTTAAGTGTATGAAAAATCTAGAGAGAATCACTTCCCGCCAAATTTTTAATGGCTTATATCTTAAAAACAAGCACACAGACCCTTCATTTTTTCTGTTTTTTTAGTTCCTTTATTCATATTCTTTTAAAAAGCTTGTTATTTTGAAACGGAGTAGCGAACATCCTTAAGGCCAAACAAAAATATATGTCTGTTTCCGGTTACCCGACCGACCGTCCTTTTGAGCGCCGACCCTAAGTCATTTTATTTCCGTCGTAAAAGCAAAAATTAACTGAACTCGTGTCAAAAATGAAGTTTGTGTTGCCAATAATATAAATCAATTGCCTGATACATCCCAATGTTCACAATCGTGAATATGACAGCTGTTATAAGGAAATTCGTGACTCATGTGATGAAATAAACACTTTGCCGCCATTTTTTCCCCAACCAATAACCAAGGGAAATAATCCAATCATTAAAATAACAGGTAAAATTGGCCAAGGATCAACTCAGACCACGACAAGACGAAACGGCATGACTCAAAATCATGTCGCAAAAAATAAAATGAAAAAATAAAATAAAATGGAAATACCGACCTACCTAGCCTTTTTTTAAAGTATGTAACCTTAAACAGACATATATTTTTTGGGGCCTAAGTAGTGATTTGGTATAGTTTGAAAAGGTCAAATATTAGTATGTCTGTGAAGTTGTCAAACTAAATTAAAGACCCTTTAAACATAAAATTGTCCATATTTTGAGTTATAGCTTATAGATTTTTCTATTATGTTAATATGTCCTGTCCCAAAAGTAGTACACTACACTGTTAAAATCTCTTTTGGATAGAGCCAGCGCAATTTTTTAAATTTGCCTTTTTGCTCATCGTTCCGAAGGAACAGTGTGATTTTGCCATCACTTGGCGTCCATCGTTGTTTTTCGTCAACCATTGGCGTCCGTCGGGTGTAAACTATTTCATACATCTTCTCCTCTACTGAACCAATTCCTACCAAACTTAAGCTGAATGATCTTTAGGGTATTTACAATAAAGTTTGTGTTTTGTTACATGGTTGTCATGGCTAAATATGAACATAGGGGTAAATGCAGTTTTTGGCTTTTATCTCAAAACCCAAAGCATTTAGAGAAAATCTGACACAGAGTTAATTATTCATTAGGTATTCAAAGTCCTATCAGCCCTGAAATTTTCTGATGAATGTTATAACCCATTGTCATGATTGTTGGGTTGCTGTCACTTAATTGGTAATTTCAAGAAATATTTGCAGTTTTTGGTTATTATCTTTAATATTATTAATGATAAAGATAAACTGTAAACAGCAAAAATGTTCAGCAAAGTAAGATCTACAGATAAGTTTCTATAACCAAAATTGTCAATGGACCTCTTAAGGAGTTATTGCACTTTAACGACAATTTTACACAATTTGTTTATCATGTTTTCTAACTTTAAAAAATCTTCTCCTCTGAAACTACTAAACCAATTCCAACCAAACTGAGGCTGAATGATCCTTAGGGTATTTAGAATAAAGCTTGTGTTTTATTTTCTGTTTCATCAATAAACATGGCTGCCATGTCTAAAAATAGAACATAGGGGTAAAATGCAGTTTTTGGATTATATCTCAAACACTAAAGCATTTAGAGCAAATCTTATGTGAGGTAAAATTGTTCATTATGTCAAGTTCTATCAGCCATTAAATTTTCAGATGAATCTAACAATAAATTGTTGGGTTGCTGCCACTAGATTGGTAATTTTAAGGAAACTGCAGTTTTTATTTTGTGGTCAAAATATTGGTATGACGTTGACGTTGGCGGCGTCATCGACTTCCAAAGACACATTGGTTTTCACACTCAAACTTAAGTTGAAGTTAATGGATCTCGATGAAATTTTACCTTAAGGTTCAATACCACAAAAGGAAGGTTGGGATTGATTTTGGGGGTTATGGTACCAACAGTTAAGGAATTAGGGGCCAAAAATAAGCATTTTTGTAACTTCCGGACATAACTTGTGTGTTAGTGTATGGATCTCTCTGACATTGTACCACAAGATTCCATATCACAAAGGGAATGCTGGGATTGATTTTGGGGGTAATTGCCTCAAAATTTTAGGAATTAGGGGCCAAAAAAAAGGGGTAAAAAACAAGCATTTTTGTAGTTTCATGACAATAACTTGTGTGGGCAAGTGTATGGATCTTTCTGAAATTGTACTACAAGGTTCCATATCACAAAGGGAAAGCTGGAATTGATTTTGGGGGTAATTGCCCAAAATGTTTAGGAATAAGGGGCCAAAAATAAGCATTTTTCTAGTTTCCAGACAATAACTTGTGTTCAAGTGTATGGATCTCTCTGAAATTGTACTGCAAGGTACCATACCACAAAGGGAAGGCTGGGATTGATTTTGGGGGTAATTGCCTCAAAATTTTAGGATTTAGGGGCAAAAAAGGGGCAAAAAACAAGCATTTTGCTAGTTTTAGGACAATAACTTGTGTGTAAGTGTATGGATCTTTATGAAATTGTACTACAAGGTTCCATATCACAGGGGGAAAGCTGGGATTGAGTTTGGGGGTAATTGCCCTAAACGTTTAGGAATTTGGGGCCAAAATGGGGCCAAAAAACAAGCATTTTTCTTTTTTCCAGACAATAACTTTGTGTTCAAGTGTATGGGTCCCTCTGAAATTGTACTGTAAGGTACCGTACCACATAGGGAAGGCTGGGATTGAGTTTGCGTGTGATGAATCATAAGGGGGTTCAAAAAATTTGGGGGGATTTTTTTTACTTTTTTTCCTTTTGTTTTCTTTAAAATTTTCCATTTTAAATTGGTTATTTCTGATTTATATATAAAAGCAAATAATAATGATACGGTTTGAATAGGTAAATTAGAAATTTTTAAGTTCTTACACCACATTCATTTTGTGAGCCTCTTGTTTTAATTGCTTCTGTAAGTAATATATTAATTTGAAATTTTGACAACAGACACATACAGATTATACTGTTAACAATATTTCAGAGTTTAATGTTGTCAAGCACACAAATCATAGAAAAATAGTTAATCACGTCATTGTTGTCCATTGAAAAATTAGTATGAACACGATGAAAAAGGTACGGGAATGTTTGTTTGTTAAACTATTGACCGTGGTTATGTCTTTGAAACTGTTGACTGGCAAATAGTCTGTGAAATGAAATAGAACAAATATTTCATTCTTTTTTATATCATGGTATATAGAAAAATACATACTGATGTATCATAATAGTTATAGTGACTGTCATTAAATTATAGTTTTTACCTTTTTTAAGTTTAGGGCAAGAAATATAGAAGATAAAGAAAAATATAAACAATTACAACTGTACAGTAGAAATGATCGGCAAAACAAGATAAACAGAAGACAACAAGGCCTAAATGGTAAGACCACTTCTATATAATAAAAGTGATTGCCCTTGAATGATGACTATTATAAAAATAAGAAGATGTGGTATGGTAAATGAGTTATCTATCCACCAGAGTTCAATGAAGTGGATGCAAGCAATTAAAGACCAATGACGGCCTTCGATAATGAGAAAACAATCATGTCTGTGAGCACTCCACCTAACCATAATCTAGGACAGTGGTTCAAATAGCACAACATATGAACAAACTGTAAAAACTGTTGAAAGTGGCTCAACTCATTATCACTGCAAGGCACTAAAATGACTGATATTAAGTCGTGGACACAAAGCACTGAAATAACAGAACTCATAATCATGATTAGTAGGAATATCAAATTTAAGTTTCTCAAAATGTTCATATTAAACATGATAAAATAAGCTTATTTCATATTGCTGTTTTTTTCTCAATTTATATTTTGTGTATTTATAGGTGCAGAGACTTCTTGGTTTTCATGATCATCAACAGATCAATACAGAAGAGGAAACTTAAGGTTAATGCTTTTCTACATTGTGTGCTAATTGGATTAATGTGAAATGAAATGTGTGCTTACCTGGAAAAAGAAAATAGGAAATTTCTACAAAATGGCTGTAAACAAAATGGAGTACAATCATAGATGCACAAGAACACAATTGTGTAATTGCAACAACCTACACTGAAGGATTAGGGAGAAATGTAGAAAAAAAAGTATTTTTTTGTCGAAATAAACACCTGCTTTATCCATTCATGTACATAGCTCTGTCATATCAACTATATAGAGGAAGATGTTTGAAGAACAAATTGCAAAAATGTATTCTCTACCAATTGAAGGAAGATGTCTGGTGGATGGAATTATTTATGCACTGAACTGTTTTGTAGGGGATTGAATAATTGTACGCAGCAGAAAAGTTAAATTAACATGAAAAGTGATTATTTTATTTAATCCGCAAATATGAGCACAATATTAATAACATCACAAATAGTATGATATTCATAGCGTTTTGCTTATTATTGTATTGTCTCAAACAGCTAGCCTATTGTTTTTGTATGTCATGTTACTCATCAGTGAACATTTTATTAAAGTTTTAATTATCTTTTGTATCAATTATTCAGTCTCAGGAAAAATTATATTCATACTGTTTTTACTGTTATGAAATTTTCATAGAGGAAAAAGGAATGAGAGAAATTTCCATAGAGGAAATTTGGAGAACAATGTTTTCCTTAGAGGAAATTTGTGGTCTTGAATTTTCCCTCAAGGAAAAGTGTTTGTCAAAAATTTCCTCACAGGAAATTGCTGTTGACAAAAATTCCTCACAGGAATAAGTATTTCCTCAAAGGAAAATTTGAAGCTGCAAATTTCCTCACAGGAAAAAGTATTTCCTCAGAGGAAAATTTGAAGCCTCAAATTTCCTCAGAGGAAATAGAATTTCCTCAAAGGAAAATTTGAAGCCGCAAATTTCCTCACAGGAAATAGAATTTCCTCACATGAAATAGAATTTCCTCAAAGGAAATATTAATGCAGCAAATTCCCTAAGGGAAATCTTTTTCCCTTGAGGAAAATACAATTTCCCTTAAGGAAAAATCTTTTTCCTTCAGGGAAATTTGATTTCCCTTGAGGAAAACTACTTTTCCTCTGAGGAAATTGTTGAAAAAAGGGGCATAACTTTTTCAACAGTGGTGCTAGAGCCAAAATTTTTTAGGACAAATATCAGGGAACCAATACCAACCAAGTTATCAACTTCATTTTGACTTAACTCCAAAAATTAAGGTGACAACTTTTGCACTCAGCGGAAGTGCAAACTTGTCCCGGAGACTTTTTAAATGATTGTACCAAGTCAGGAATATGACAGTTGTTTTCCATTCGATTTATATGTTTGAGCTTTTAATTTTGCCATTTGATAAGGGACTTTCCGTTTTGAATTTTCCTTGGAGTTCGGTAATTTTGTTATTAACTTTTTACTACAACCAAGTCGATGTCAAGTTTCTTCCTAGAAGAAACTTTACTGCTGGTGGATTATTCCCCGAGGGCATCATTAACTCGGTAGCTTAATGCATGATGAATACAAATAACAAACATGCTAGAACATCGCCCGGGTTACCAACGTCCTCTTCTGCTACACGGAACACTGTAGCATTTGATTTGTGTGTTCCACGGAATATCCTTCGGGATACCCCTGATTTGACCAATGTACAGCCAGAAGGTAATTATTACTTTAAAAGTTCAGATACTTTTTCAAAAACTAAAACAATGTACTGTTAATATGTTTGACTGTTTAAAGACACCTGCCACAAATGAATCAACTCCAGACCTATCATTTCTACTTGTAAACATAAAAAAAGGAAAGATGAGCACGTGTTTGACATGTGATATGTTAATCACGACTCCAGACTTCACTGGTAACTTAACAGGAAAAACTTATTTTACAAAATATTTTTTACCTCTAGACTGTTCCACGGACACTATCATTTACGGAATTGGATGTACTTTGTGTGGACTACCTTATTATGGTGAAACTCGATAAACTTTGCGTAAAAAGATGAATCAACACCGGTCTGATAATAAAGATCCGCAATTCAGGGTTCTTTATAACAATTTTAATCAACCGGACCATAATCTTTCTTTATCTATGAAAGTAAGCATCATCGAGAAAATTTATCACCACACCAATAGCTCTATACTAAGTACTCCTTTCCGAAAAGATAGCGAAAATTTCTGAATAGGGAACTAGGTACTGCAATGCCGCCATATGATTGCAATGATAACATCAAAGGAGAAGGAAATTTGTCAAGTCCAGCCTACAGTGATGAAAATGTAATGGGTTTATTTAATACTACTTTAATACACCAGTGTAGTCATGGGCAAAAACATCACCATCGGCCCAATGTAAAAAAAGTCTTCCAAATCTAGAACGCCCTCGGGTAGCTTGAATGGCCTTCTTTCAAATCGTCATCATCCGCTAGGGTTACATTACATTAGAAATATTCTTTTTTCACTGCCTGTTAACATTCTTAAATGTTTGAGAGATTATGCACTTGACAAGGAATGCATAAATATATTTTCTCCAATATACAGACTGGTCAGTATAATTTGTGATGTAGCTCTTTTCTGTTTTTTTAAACCAGTAAGATCGGAACCTTTACATGACGAAAAGAGGAAATTCCTTCCAATTCAGTTTACGAATAAAGGAATTGATGCTATCAACATCAGCAACGTTCTTCGTCATTAAGAGGTAACATCTAAAATTCCAGTTTATTTTCAAAATCAGTCTGTTCTTATTGTATTCCACAGTTACAACAAAACCATTGCACCTAAAGTATTTAACCATAAGCAAGCATCGAAGGACCTTGATTTAGAAGAATATCTAAAATAAAAAAAACTCTGACATTTGACTGTTCCTACTCGCCTTATATTTACAACCCCTCTGACCAAGTTATTACTGCATGGGGATCTAAACATAATTCAACATGAATATCTCCGAAAGGTGATATTTAATGGTCCTAAGTTCAGAGAACCCAAACACATCAATTGGAACCATAACTTCAAAATAACTATGGATTCCATTGAAAAGAACGCCAGAGCATGGGTCAAAACAATCAGGTCTCTGATAAAACGTCGAATTCATAAGTTGAAAAACTGTGTGAATGATCAACTAAAGTCCGTTTTCAGAAACAAAGAAGCTGTGAAATGTCTATCATCTCTTCACGATAAACATGTTGTTGTTCCTGCGGACAAAGCTTCAAATAATATTGTCTTTGAATGTAAATCGTACTACTACGAGTGTTTTGTAAAAGAATTAAGAATAAATGAACACTCAGGTAATCCCACATACAAAAACATATCATTTGACAAGGATTAGATTTTGGCGAATCATAAGTCCTTCATGGCTTCAATGACCATTACATTGAACAGCAAATCTGAGGACTTACCTTGTTTGTATTGGATACCTAAGCTTCACAAAAATCCGTACAAACGGTACATTGCCGGCTCTGTCCAACAGATTGACAAAATTCTGTCTGCAGTGAAAGAGGGTCTTCAGAAATACTGTGAAACTATTTACTCGCTTAGTGGTATTAACCATAAGTGGATTCTAAAAAAACTCTAAAGAACCTCTGGATAATTTTAATTCTCTATCTTTCTCTGAAATTAATTATATCAAAACTTTTGATTTTTCAACCCTTTATACCACCATTCCCCATGTGAAATTGAAAAATCGTCTAAAAGAAATAATCCACGATGCTTTTCAATATAAAAATGGTAGCATACGCTATAAATTTATTACTTTAGGATACCATACGGCATATTTTGTTAATATTGAACAAAAAAGGTAAAACATGCTACACAGAGGAACAAGTGATCAGTATGCTGGAGTTTCTTATTGACAACATATTTGTTGATTTTGGAGGTAGACTTTTTCAACAAATTGTTAGGATTCCTATGGGAACGAACTGTGCGCTTCTCCTTGTCGACCTCTTCTTATTTTCATATGAGTCGGAGTTCCTTCAGACACTTGTCAAAAACAAGAAGATCAAAGAAGCCAGTTCATTTGATTTCACATTCAGATATATTGATGATGTTCTTTCCATTAACAATCCAAACTTTTCTGATTGGATGGTTCCATTAATATATCCTTCAGAACTAGAAATTAAAGAAACAACAGACACGGCTTCCTCCGCCTCATAGGCGGTCATTTCAGTACCAGAGTCTTTGACAAACGAGACGATTTTAATTTTGAAATTATCAATTTCCCCCACTTTAGTAGCAATATACCAACTTAAACTGCATATGGGATATACATTTCCCAACTCCTTCGGTATTGTAGAGCTTGCAGCTGCTACTCAAGATTTTATAAAACGTCACCAGTGTCTGATCATAAAGTTGATGAACCAGGGTTATGTTAAAGAACGTCTCGTCCTTTTTCTAAATAAGTTCATCGGAAGATACCAAGACCATGTTTAAAAATATTCCGTATCAACTTCACAAATAATACACGATGGTCTCGAAGTATAGATTCTAGGTGCTGACGTTGTTTAAAATCTTAATTACGTGTTATAATGTTCTTATATTTGTCTATGTAAATTATTTACTTTACTATTTAGTCAATTTTTGGTAATATCCTCTTGTCGTGGCTCGGTACTTATACATCCCGCCATTGTGTTATTGTGCTATGATCATTTTTTGTATTCTCGTCATTCATTTTTGCTGATGTGCTTTGTCTATATGCCATTTTGTTTTTCTTTGTTGACTTATGTTTTTTTTAGTGATTAAGATTATAACACAATAACACAATGTTGACTGCTGTACCCCTATTTTTGACGTTTTCACCTATTATGTCTGGTTGTTTTGTTCACACATTGGTGTCAATATAATGGAATTTTATGCGACCGTCATACAAGTGAGAGGTTTAGCTAGCTATAAAACCAGGTTTAATCCACCATTTTCTACACACGGAAATGACTGTACCAAGTCAGGAATATGACAGTTGTTTTCCATTCGTTTGATGAACAAGGACAAGAATAGAACATATTTTATTCCTAATTAAGGGCCTACAAGGGGCATATAGAGAATACATGTATAAGGAAAAAGAACATTGATTTACAGCACAGATACATAGAATTTAAATACACAATCACAATACAATTAGACTGTAATAATGCTCTTGGTTTATTTGAGCTTTTAATTTTGCCAAATGATAAGGGACTTTCCGTTTTGAATTTTTCTTTAGAGTTCGGTATTTTCTTATTTTACTTTTTTCTGTTAGAGAAAGCCAGTTCAAAAAATAAACCAATAATTTTTTCTCAGATCTGGTTGTCTTTTTGTTATTTTGTCGCTGGCTAGCTGTCTCATTTACGTATACACTACATGTTTTTTTATCAACTGATCTAACATCGTTGGGCGCTAAATTTCAGACGAGGTATATGACTATATCGTGGCGTAACACATGTGGAACACTTTAATATCTGCTATAAAATGTCTATCGTGATATTGTCACATATGCAGTTGTGTACAACTAAAAGAAACATTGTTGTGACTGCATTGTATGTATTATCATTATTTGCGAACCACAAAGGTATTCCATCTACATGCCATACTAGA